CTCTCTCGAATATTTTCCTTCATTGTGTCAGCTCCTTACAGGTGCCTATACTGATCATCTCCAGGACCTTTTAAGTATCTTCCCATCCCTATCTGTGCATTTCCTGTATTTGTGTATTATTTGACACATAGTAGACACTCAGTAAATATGCTATACAAAACCCGCTTTGGGGGCTAGGGATATAGCTCAGTTGATATGCACAAGGACCTGGGTTTAATCCCCAGCACTACAAAAGGAAAACAAAATGTCAAAATCTGCTTTTTGAAATTATCTTAAAAGGTTGAATATTGGTCATTCCACATGGTCCACTGAAGAAGCAAACAAAATAATATTATTGAGTATCAGTAATTACCAGTATCAGACAATGTTATAAGTGCTTTTGGTTTATCTCATTTAATCCTTAAAACTTATAGACATCATTATTAACCATAACTTAAAAGTTCTTTTAGAAAGTCTAGACTCAGGTTAAATAATTTGCCCAAGATCACACGGGCAGGGTGTAAATTCTATATCTGCTTGCCATAACTGAAGGGCTTCTCCCTCCCTGCAGACAATGCTGAGCAAGGGTCTGAAGCGCAAGCGGGAGGAGGAGGAGGAGGAAGAGAAGAAGGAGGAAAAGGAGAAGGAAAAGGAAACCCTGGCAGTCGACGCCTGGTGGCTGGATCCTGGCCACCCAGCAGTGGCACAGGCACCCCCAGCTGTGGCCTCCAGCTCCCTCTTTGACCTCTCTGTGATCAAACTTCACCACAGCCTGCGACAGAGTGAACCAGACCTACGGCACCTGGTGCTGGTGGTGAACACCCTGCGGCGTATCCAAGCATCCATGGCACCCACAGTTGCCTTGCCATCTGTGCCCAACCCACCCCCGGCCCCCAGCATGGATGATAACCTCCTGGCCAGCTCTGATGCCGCCCTCTCGGCCTCTGTGGCCAGCCTCCTGGAGGACCTCAGCCACATTGAGGACCTTAACCAGGCTCCACAACCACCAGCAGATGAGGGGCCTCCAGGCCGCCCCATTGGAGGAGCCCCACCCAGTTTGGGTGCCTTGGACCTGCTAGGCCCAGCCACTGGCTGTCTGTTGGACGATGGGCTTGAAGGCCTATTTGAGGACATTGACACCTCCATGTATGACAGTGAACTTTGGGCACCAGCCTCTGAGGGTTTCAAACCTGGCCCTGAGGATGAGCCAGGCAAAGAGGAGGCTCCAGAGTTGGATGAGGCTGAGCTGGACTACCTCATGGACGTGCTGGTGGGCACACAGGCATTGGAGCGGCCGCCGGGGCCAGGGCGTTGACCCCCAGGGCTGGGATGGTTGTCTGGCACCTGAATCGAGCCTGATGGCTGGACCAATCCCCCTTGGAAAGACATAGCTGGCTCCCTAGCACAGACAGGGGGGGCTTGGGCCTCTTTGGAGAGAATGAATCCAGTCCTGGGCACATTACATGTGTCTTCTTTTGTTGAGGCTGGTGGAAGAGGACTGACCCCTAGTGATGGAATGACAGGGCCTGGTGGCTGGAGTGTGATTGGGTCAGGCCCCATGCTGGACTGAATCCTGTGGGGTCACAGCCTGGGCTATTCCTTCCCGAATATGGGAGGAGATAGCAACTCATTTTTTGAAATTAAAACCAGGCCCTAGGAAGTCTCCAGTCTGTGTGTTTCTTTGTCTCTTCTAAGCACTTGACATGTTAACTTAATCCTATAGCAACCCCACAAGATGGGGATTCTTATTATGATCCCCATTCTACAGGTGAGAAAACCGAGGCTCTGGGAGGTCATCATGGGGGAGGTGGGTTTCACATCATGAACTTTACTGCTGAACTGAGCCCAAAAGCAGGCTAACTAGTTTGGCAACTGGCCAAACTCCCCAGAACATACTCAACTTGGTTTGCATTTTGCCTGTGTGTGCCGAAGCCCCAGGCCACTTTTAAAAAAAATGAACCTAGTCCTTCCTTGTGTACCTTGAGGGGAGAGAGGGAGGAGGTCCCCAGAGTGGCCCAGAATTGAACACAACACAAAGCTGGAGGCTGGACAGAGCTGCTTCTGAGAGCAATGACAGTTCTCCAGGAACCTGGTGAAAGAGGGGGAGGTGCCCGCCAGTTTTTCAAAATAAAACCCACTCCACGTCTCCCTTTGGGGAAAGGACAGGGCACTTTAGAGGCCTCCAAAATAAAGTCCCCAAGTTTGGTGGCTGGACCGAAGGGAGGGCCCTCGGGGGCAGGCAGTTAGTTGGCTTTCCTTGGAGAAGAACCCCAGGCCCAGGCAAGCCGGGGCCACCTGCCTGACTGCCCGTGTGATAGGCTGGCCGGAGCGCGCCGGGTGTCTGCGGCCGCCCGCGCGGTCCAGCCGCATTCCTGGCGCTGCTGGGAGGGGCCGCACACTCACAGGCCTGGCACGGGACCCGGGCTGCGTCCTTCCTGGCGGCCGTGGGGGCAGGGCAGCGCTCCGGGTGCCGGGCACTGCGGGGGGGAGGGAGTGTCGCCGTGGACGCGGTGGGCGGGGGACAGGGAGGAGCCGAGGGCTGGACTGCGACCCGGGAGCCCCCGCTGGGCTGGGTCGCCTAAACGCCAGCCGGGGGACAGCAAAACGTGGGTCGACCCCGGTGCCTCCCCTGGGGCCGGAAGCTTCGGGGAGCGGCGGCGGGATGAGCCGGGGGAGGCGGCGAGCTGCGGCGGCCCCCGGGGCCGGGAAGGGGCGGGCAGAGCGCGACTTCCTGGAGGAGCCGAGGAAGCGGTGCCCATTTCTGGAAGTGGAGGAGGCGGGCTGGGCCGGCGGGTGGAGATGACCGTAGGGAGCTGGTGCCTGGATGGAGCGTGTTTCAGGGGTTCCAATCCCTGGTGACCCCAAGGCCTGGGCAACTGGACTCCGGCTTTTGTCCCAGATGGAGACCTTGGGGGCCTAGGCCGAGCTCAGCAGCGCCCCCTGGTGTCCAGTGTGGAGTTCTGTGTCCTGTGCGGAATGGGGGGTGTCAGCCAACCCCTTGCCCTCAGTTTACTGAATGCTGGGGCTGGTTTCTTGAAACCTCTGGGGGCCAAACTGGGGGTAGTCTGTGAAACCCACAGATGCCGCCAGCCAGCCCATCTATGAAAGAGGCATGGTCCAGGCACAGAGTAGGTACTCAGAAATCTTTGCTGAATAAGGGAAGGTAAAAAAGGAGGGAAGGAGTGAGGAAAAGGTGGCCAAGGACATGGACCGCACTCTCCTAGGTGTCAAGGAATTGTTTGCAGAAGGGAGCTGGCCTGGGGGGGTGTCATGGCCAGAATACACAAAGGCTCTGTGAAAAGCAGTGGCAGCGCCAGTCAGTTCAGAATGGTGTGGGCCCTGGAATCTGCTGGCTGACGTGGTGTGGCCTCCTAGGGTCGAGCTTGAGGGTGGAGTGGCACACCAGAGTCTCTGCAGCCATCCAGGGGGTCAGACTTGGGGAAGGACAAGCAGGTCCTCAAGCACAGGCCCATCATAAACCCAAGATGCCAAAGGGATGGAATCAGGGCTGATCTGGCCCATGAGGTGCTTTTGTGCAAAAGACACACCCCTTCCTCAAGGCACTTGGCCTCCACCTGCCAGAAAATTGTCATAATAAGTATGTAAACCCATAGCACCTGAAACATGCCTCTTAAATATGGAACCAATGTGCAGTGCACAACCTGTGCAACTTTACCCAGAGGCACTGGAGAAAGGGCGCATCGCTGGCTAAACTGGCACAGCGGAAAACATGCTACAGAAATGATGCTCACAGATGCTGTTGAATCAATGAGAGAAAGAGAAGAGGCTGTGCTTGAAAGCCAGACCTCCTGGGTTTAACCCAGCTTTGCCAATCTGCCTCTTAACTTCTCTGGGTCTCCAAGTTCTCATCTGTAAACTGCGACAATAATAGTGGCCACCCTAAAGGGAGGCTGTTCTTGGGAAAAGGGAAACAGCATATGCAAGGGCTAAGGGGTAAGGGGCCCTACAACATTTTCAGGATTCTCTAAGTTTCTGGGTTTGGCTGGAAGAGGGGTCTAGGAAGAGGCTCCGAGCTTTAGCCAGAGGGCCAGGACATAGTCCTCTGGGACTCTGACCAGGGTCTGGGGTTGATGCTGGAGGTCAGGAAGGGCCATGGTGGATGCAGTAGGCTTGGGGGGATCCTAGGGGAAGGCGTGGAAGCTGCTGGGCTCCTGGACTGAAGCTTAGTGGAGAGGGCCAGGGAGCAGGAGTGGGCAGGAAGGGTGGGGGCTAGGGAGACATCAGTGCCCCCCAGCTGGACCGGGTGGGGCCCAGCAGTGTGTTGGGGCAGGGCAGCAGCTCTCCTCTGCTCAGGCTGGCTCTGAGAGGGTGATCCATGAGGAGCTTCTACCTCCTTTCCTGGCCTCACAGGATGTCCTGTGTTTACTGAGGTGGCCTTGACTGGAACCAGGACATTGGTGCCACCCCCTAAACTCAAACTTCCCATGGCCACACCCTCTTGGGTGAGGGAAAGCAGGAGGGAGGGAGAGAGAGGGAGAGGGAGAGAGAGAGAGAGAAACAGACACAGTATGAGACAAAGAATAAGGATAGAGAGAAAGAGAGGAACCAAACCTGGGCAGAGACACACCACACTGTTCATGATAAAAACCCACAGCAAACCAGAAAAGGGGGTTTCCTTAATCTGAGTAAGGACATTTACAAAAAAAAAAAAAATACAACTAGCATCAATTTTTATTTTATTTATTTTTAAGATGTGGTCTCACCATGTGGCCTGGGCTGGTCTCAATCTCCTGGGACCCAGTAATCCTCTTGCTTCAACCTCCTGAGTGCTGGGACATATCCGTGGGTCACCCTGCTGCTGCTGCTGCTGCTGCTGGGGTTTCTCCTACTCTTTTCTGTCCTGGGGTGGAAGCGAGGGCCTTGCATATGCTAGTCAAGTGCTCAGTCACTCAGCTGCACCTCAGCCCTTCAGCTTCATATTTAATGGCTAAAGACGGAAGCTCTTTCCCTAAGATTGGGAACGGCAAGGTTCTCTGCTGGGAGAGACACAGAGGACAGTGTGTCCCAAACTCTATGTTCTGTTTGACCGTGAGTGGAGAGAGGCAGATTTTCAACCTCCTTCTAACCCGACCTGTAGCTCAGACTATATCCACCATCAAGCACTTAAAAGATCACCTTTGAGCCAGACATTGGTAGCACAGGCCTGTAACCTCAGCAATTTGGGAGTCTGAAGCAGGAGGATTACAAGTTTGAAGCAACCTAGCAAGATCTTGTTTCAAAATAAAAAACAGGTCTGGGGATATAGTTCCGTGGTGAAGTGTCCCTGGAGGTTCAAGACTTTGGTTTTTGTTTTTTTGTACCAGAGATTAAACCCAGGGGCACTTTACCATAGAGCCACAGCCACAGCCCATTTTATTTTTTATTTTGAGACAGGATCCTGCTGAGTTGCCTAGGACCTCACTAAGTTGCTGAGGCTGGCCTCAAACTTATGATCCTTCTGCCTCAGCCTCTGGAGCCACTGGGAGTACAAGCGTGCACCACCCTGCCCAACTGCCCCTGGTAGTTCAATCCCCATTCTGCAAAACAACAACAAACTCAGTTGTACATTGTCCTTCCATAGCTGCCCAGGGCCCTCAGTACAAAGTCTCAGTCTTTCCTCATTGCCTGGCTGAGCCTGAGACCTCTACTCAGCCTCCCCCCACTCTCAATTAACCACGTTCTCAAAGGGCCAATGCACAGGTCACTCCCTCTACCTCTCATTTGCTCACCACCCATTGCTCTGCATTAACTCCTATGTATCCTACGGGTTCAGCCCAAAGGCTACTTCCTCCAGGAAGCCCTTCCTGACCACTCCGCCTGGGACTTCCCATCATGGCCATTCTGGGTTTGTTCCCTGTGGATCCCCCTGCTTGGAACCCTCTCCTCTGCCCTCTCTCTCAGCCTCAACCTCCAGTTTGACTTTCAATGTCAGCTCCTACAGGAATCCTTTCCTGAGTCTGGCCTCCCAGGGTAGATGTGGGTCTGTTGGTGGCCCCAAAGGACCTGCTACTGGTCAAGGGCTTGCGAATGTTTGTTGAATGAGGAAGTGAACAAATGAATCTTTGAGGAGGTCAATGAAAGAGAGGAAGAGACTGCAGTAAAATAAGGGTCACAGGCCCAATGGCAGCCCTGACCACAGGTCCCTTCCACCCCGCCCAGCTCAGGAGGAGGGTGCTGGCCGGGTTCCGGCCACACCCCTACCCCTTGGTGGCTGCCAGGCCAGGAAGGCATTTCCCAGAGCTCAGCACATTCCTGCCTCCCCTGGTGGCTGAGAGTGGGCAGGGGGCATTTCAGAGAGAAAGGGGAGGCCCCCAGTATTCTGGGCTCTAGCCACCCTATTCCTGTACCCCATGTCCTCAAGAGCAGTCCCCAACTCCTATGTGTGGAGTGGGGGACAGGTCCACAGAGGGGCCACCCATGCTGGCATGAGGGCCTGGGGTGTAACTGGGGGCCTGGTGCTGGCGCCTGGCGGGACAATGGGACAGAAGCTGCTGACTCGGGCTTTGGGGGTAATCCCCCAGCCTCATCCCAGCCCCAGCCCCAGGCCCAGGCTCAAAGAGCCACGAGCATCCAGGGCAGCGGCCAGTGGGTGCGAGGGGCATGTGGGGGTACCTGTGCTCCCTGTGCCGCCCCCCGGGGTCTGGTGAGTCAGGGCAGGCTGGGGGCCGGGCCAGGGGCCAGAGAACTGGGGTGAGGCCTGGTGGCCTTGGTTTGGGAGTTGGGCAGATCTGGATTAAAAGCTGGGCCACTGCCAATTACCTGCTGTGCTACCTTGGGTGAGTCACTGACCTCCTCTGTCTCCTTATCTGTGAAAAGGAGGGATAGCAGAGTGTAGCAGGGTCTTTGGGGGTCCAGCAGAGTGGGGGTGCGAGCCCAGCCCCACAACCTCCTGTAGCTATATATTGGGCCCCATGAACCCTCCTTGCTTTGGAAGCAGAACTGTGGGCGCCCCACACAGTATTGAGCACCTAGGAGGAGCCCCAGATAGCAACTTCATGAAATGGAGCAGTAGGGTTCTGCCATGCCCAGTCTCACTGGAAAGGGTTCCCAAGTCCCCCGAGAGGACCACCCGGCCCTCTAATTTGTGTAACCATAAATAACAAAATGTGTATAGGTAGCACTCACTGTGTTACGAGCTCCATCTTAGATATGGAGAGACTGAGGCCAGAGATGAGCTGTGACTTACTGAAGGCTCACTAAGGAAGGTCACCCAGCCAGGCAGGAGTGGCTGAACTGGGATTGAAACCAAAATTGTGAGAGGAGAGAGCAGGAAGGAGTTTGTCTTGGGGACCCCAGGAAACATCAGGGCCATGGGTGGGTCCGGGGACCAGGAAACAGTGGGGGTGGGGTGCCGAGTCTCTAAGTTGGGGTGGCCACGCGCAGGTCTCAGAAGTGGGGCTCCCGGTGGAGGTCTGGGCTCAGCCAAGGGACAGGCGGTGCCTCCTGGTCCCCACCCCCTGGCACATGGATGCAGCTGGGAGAAGGGGATGTTTGTTTCCCCACTGCCCACCCTCTGGTGACATCATATCTCAGCAGCCAATGGCTGGGGTCTTTCCCTCCTACCCCTCCCGATTCCTTTTCCCCCCCAGCCTAGGGCTGGGACTGAACAGACGGACTGGGGAGCTCTCGATTGTGTCTGGAGGCCCAGAGGTAAGAGATCAGCCAGCCGGTCGCCTCCCGGGACCAGGCTGAGAATGAGACCCAGGGTCCTGGGAGATCTGGGAGGGTGCCCGGGGCTCAGGAAGGAGGACTTTGAGCCAGTCCTGAATCCCAGCTGCATCCTTTTTCTGGCTGTGCAGCCTTTGTGCCTCTACTTGCTCGTCTCTAAAATGGGCTGACAGAGGCCAACTCACAGAGAATTCCTGAGTTACTGCCTGTGAAGAGCTAGGGCAGGCTTTCTGGTTTTTGGAAGAGGATGCCAGGGGACGGTGGTGTTTTTTTTTTTTTTTTGTACCAGGGATTGAACCCAGGGGCGCTTAACCACTGAGCCACATCCCCAAACCCTTTTTGTATTTTAGAGACAGAGTCTCACAGAGTTGCTTGGGGCCTCGCTGAGTTGCTGAGGCTGGCTTTGAACTTGCAATCCTCCTGTCTCATCCTCCCAAGCCACTGGGATTACAGGCATGCGCCACCACGCCCTGCATGGTGGTGGTGATCTTATTGGTGGGAGGATGGTGCCCAAGATGGCTGGATTTTATCTCTCACTCGAAGTTCCCCTTGGGTTTTGGGGGAGCAAAGGCTGGGTATGAGACCCTGGGAGAGGTGGAGCCCTCCTGCATACACTCTGCTATCAGAGATGTTTCTGTTAATCGAGCACTTTATATTGGGATGTTCTGAGGACTTGCTCTTGTCTCACGAATCTTCAAAGCCATTTTTACTGGCTCCATTTTACAGATAAGAAACTGAGGTCTCGGATGAGAAGGACCTTGCCCCTGTTTTCATACCTGGCAAGTGCTGGAGCCGGGACTCACCGAGGCAGCCAGAGGCCACTGCCTTACACTTCCCCTTGGCTCCACTGTGTGGCCTCAGATAATATCCAGGTGCCTGAATGAGTCGGGTCACCCCCAGCTCCCACTGCTGAGGACACCAGGTCACCGTGGCTGGGAAAGCTGACACTCTTAGGCAGGCAGAATTCCCAAGTGAGGTTGGTGGCAGCTACTGAAGAAAGCGCTAGAAGGGCAGAGCCTTCAGTAGATTCCTCAGTGGACCTAGCTCAGCCGAAGGGCGGGGCCTAGGGGACAACCCCTAATTCCCAGCCACTCTGAAGGGCCCCAGCGTCTAAATGGATATCTTAGATGTACCTGCCTCATGGAGGTGTTGGGGGGGGGTTGAATGTGCCAAAGCACATAGTAAGTGCTCAAGAAACAGGAACGCTGAAAATTCTGGGAACTCAGGCATGAACCAGGACAGGGTCTCAGTCACTGCTCCAGTCTTGATTCACCAGGAGACCCCATCAGATCCGCCTCTGACACAACTCAGGGACTCCTAGAGAGTCTCCCCCACCTCCTACCCCTGCCTACTAGGATGGGCATCACTGGGAACACAGAGTGCTTGGGGTGGAGTGGGTTTCCTTCCGAAGCTGCCCCCACCCCCACCCCAGGAGCTGGGTATGTTCCTCAGGAAGGGCACTTCTGAGCTAAATATAACTTGGGCTGGGCAGCTGTCCAGGTAGGGATGAGGAAGGAGGGCACTCTCTTGTTCCTGCCCTGCTTGGGCTTCCTATGTCAGGTTCTGGGTGTGACTCTCACCGCCAGGGCCTGGAGCAGGGAGCTCCTGGGCCAGGAGACTGTCCCTGCCATCTGCCGCTGCCTGCAAAGGGCCCGTCTCACCCCCACTCCCCAGTTTAGAATACTGGTGTTGGTCCTGGATAGCTCTCACACCTGGGTTCAGTCGTGATGTCCTGCCTCTTAACTCTCTTACTCATGGGTAAAAATGGGGGCCCCCTGGGATCAAGTTAGCCAGGTCTGGCTCCAACAAGCTCACTTTGAAATGGCATTCACAGTCCCCTCTACCTCTCTTGCTCTACCTAGTTCCTGCCCAGCTGTTTTGTGGCCCAGTGCAAGTTTTGGTACCAAGTAAGGGTCAAGGGCACAGGCCCTAGCTCTGCCTCTTCCTGGTTGTCTAACTCTGGACACTTTCCCCCTCCGAGCCTGGGTTTCCACCCTATCCAGGGTGACGTTGAGGCCTCTGGGTGCTGACACAGGGCCCAACTCAGAGGAACACCCCAGACATGGGAGCCAGCCTGGGAGAGATTGTCCCTGCTCCCAGGGGTAGGGGCTGAGAGAGGAGGCTGGGATGAACACATAGACCAAGACCCCTAGGAAATCCAGAGAGGGGCCCTCCAACACTGTGGGGGACCTGCTAGTGGAATAGTTGCTCAGGATGTTGAGGGGGTCCCCGTGTCTTCTGTCCTGGCCGCTGGTGGGCTATGAAGGGCCATTGTGCAGCTGTGGGTGGGTGGGCGGGGTGGAATGTGGCTGGCCCAGCAGATGGGCCATTGTGTGAGGGAATGTGCCGCGTGAGGTCTGACCTTTCCCTCTACAGCAGGGGTTGGCGGGTTGGCATGCCAGGTGGGGGCTGTGAGGACCAGCCGGGAGTTGGGGGTTGGGGACACAATTTCTATGGCCGTTCCCCCAGGAGAGCCTGGCAGAAGACTGCATGTGACCCCCAGCTCTGCTTCCTCCTTTGCTGTGTGACCTGGGTTGGGGGTTGGGGACACAATATCTATGACCATTCCCCCAGGGACAGCGTGGCAGAAGAGGGCATGTGACCTCCAGCTGCTTCCTCCTTTGTTGTGTGACTTCTCTTGGCCTCTCTGAGGGGACAGGGTTTTCAGAGGTGAGGGAGAAGGTGGCGGTCTCAGTCCAAGGACTGGCCAATAATAACCACTCCATAACCATTAGTTATTATTATTATTGCCATATAAGGGGCTGGAGGTGTCAGACAAGTTCAAGTCCCAGCTTGGCCATATATACCACCAGGCAAGTGACTCCCCTGCCCCCAGCCTCAGTTGTCTCCTCTGTAATGGGCTCAATACAATCCTGACCTCACAAAGCTGTTCTGGGGTCCACGTGCAATGATACCTATGGGGACAGGACACAAGGTCAGGACCCCAGGACATTCTTGGTAATAACAGCAAACACTTACAAGCTCCTCCCTCGTGTGGGCCACTTTATACCTTCTAAGTCACTGATCCATGGAACAGCCCTGCAAGGAGGGCATGCTTCCCCTCACTTTTTAAAAAAGCACAGGAAGGCACGGGCTGTGACCTCGGGGAGCACATGGGAGTGGATGTCATTATATTGTGTGTTTGGTCCAGGTGGTTGGCCCTGGGGCTCTGCAGCTGGACAGGCCCAGGAGTCAGCTTGGGCTTTGCCTCTTGTTTTCCAGTTGTCATGGGGTGTGTGTGTGGGGGTCTTCTGAACCTCATTGTCCCCACCTCCATTATTGGGACAGGACATTGATAGAGTGGGGAGGGTCATCCACTCGGAAGCAACAGTGCGTGTTAGCTGATAATACTGCTCCCATTATTCTTCTCAGAGCCCCGGACCCAGGAGGCCCAAGGAGCTGAAGGTGACCCTCAGGTGAGCACTGGCTGGCGCCACATGCCCCTCCTTGCCCTTTCCTGCCTACCTGGAGCCTCATTCCCTGATCTTTCCCTGGCAGGCAGCAAGACCCCAGCGGAAGGCCGGGAGCCCCACAGATAGCTGTGTGGCATCTGGGGCCGGGCTCCTGTTAGGAGGGAATACCTGCGCCCAGGCAGCGGTGAGGGGACAGCTGGGGTGCGGGGCCTTTCTCTCCTTCTGATGCCCACCCTGCCCTTCCCCTGGAAGCTGGGCTTCCATCCCTCATCCCCTCAACCCTCCATCCCTGTCCCCCAGGCTCAGAGGCAGCTGCTTCATGCAGAACTGAAGTTGGTTCTGCAGCGGAAGGGGGAAAGGAAGCAGGAGCCCGGGGCTCACGTGTCTCCCAGCAGTGCCATGGAGGCCAGGAGCCGGAGTGCCGAGGTGAGTGCCACAGGCCCTGCAAGGGGGGTTGCAGGGAATGTGTAGGGAGCACAGACTAGGACAGCAAGGAGACACTTCCTGGCTTCTCTGGGCCTCAGTCTCCCCATCTGTGAAATGGAAATATAATTGAGGGGGAAATAATAACGATGGGAAGGGCTCAGTGTAGTGCCTGGCTAAAATCGATGCAAAGCAGCTAATTCACTGGATCATAAAGGAGTTGATAATAAGCTAAGGAAACCAAGCAGAAAGCCTTCATCAGAAGAGGCAGTGTGGTACAGTGGTTAAAGACAAGAATTTGGAATTATCAAATCCCACTCCCCACCATGTCAGCTGTGCAGCCCCGAGCAGGTGACCTCATCCCTTTGAGCCTCAAATTCCCCATTGGTGAAATGAGATAATGGTTCCCATATCTGTGGGGTTTGAGGACTCACCCTGGGGCCATCTGCAGAGTCTGGCACTGAGGAAGACTCCTCTAAAGGTAGCTACCCTGGCTATTATGGAGAATGGGGACGGTGGCACTTAATGTGCCCCACTGTATGCCAGGCACAGGGCAGGTGTGCTTTACAGGAGCCAAGCTGAGGCTGGGAATGGCAGGCAAGGGGGTCACTGCCTTCACGATGGCCTGTGGGTTCTGGGACCACAGACCCAAGGTCAAGGCCCAGTGGCTTAACTTGCTGTGTGACATTAGGCAAGACATTCTACCTTTCTGGGCCTCAGGGTCCTCCTCTGTTGACTTCCCAAGGCTGAAGGGAGAATGAAATGAGAGGCTGAACAGAGAATGCTTAGACCAGGGCCTGCACAGCCAAAGGGTGGTAGGGATGGTCATAAGCTTCCAGCCACTGCCACAGCTTTTCCTACTCCTTCTCACATTGCCCAGTCCTCTCCCCTCTGGGAGCCACCACAGTGGGGCATTAGGCTCAGAACTGCTTTCCCCTCTTCAAGCCCTAAGTTCAATTCCAGTCCTTGCTGGTCTCAATGCCCTGCCCTGTCCCCTCTGATCCCTGTTGGTTTAGTTCACAGCTCATAATCACAGACTCCTTCCAGTACACCTCTGTTATCCAACTTTACAGCAGAGAAACGGGTTCAGGGAGGGCAAGGTGCTCCCCCAGAGAGACACAGCAGATTGGATTCCTAGACAGAACTCAGGCCTCTCACTTCCTCTTCTGGGAACGACGTCAATCACACAGCATGCCGCTGGGCCACAGCCAGTGTGCACCATTTACAGTAAATACCAGGAATGCCACCACTGTTGGTCCACCATTCATTTACCCACGCACCGACCCTCACCCCACACTTTGCTGGATTCCCTCCCGGGTGGGCGTTATGCAGGTCTTGAGGTTATAGAGTCTACAGAAGAGCACAGTCACACACATTCAAGCCTGCAGGGCCAAGGGCAAGTCCCATTTCCCATTGCCTCATCTTGCCTGGCTTAGGGGTCCAACCCTTTCCTAGGAATCCTATCCTCACCCTCGCCCCTTCTTCTGCTGCTATTAAAGCCCTTCCTCGTGGCTCAATCCCACGCTTAGAATATGGGTCACTGCCCCAGCGCCAAAGAAACCCCTCATAAACTGGGGCCAATAGACTCCTCATCCCCGGGGTACTCTTCCACACTCCTTTTGCTCCCAACCTCGCCAGGTGCTCTCTGATCCCGGTTCCCCGAACGGTCCGGTCCCATTACCTGGCTCCGCCCCCTCTAGCAGCCTCCGCCGAGTCCCGCCTCTTCCAACCCCGCCCCTCGGGACAGCAGCGGTGGGGGCTGGCAGTGGCGCTCACGCCCGCGGAGCTGTTTAACCGTAGTGCAGAGAGCTAGCCGCCCGCGCGCGTGCTAAAAGAGGTGCCGGATGAGTGGCCCGGACGTCCAGCCTGGGCCGTGCCGAGGGGCAGGTGCCCGGGGAACCCGCCTAAGAGCCGCTTTTAAGCGCGATGGCGACCTCCGGGCGAGGTGTAGCCCTGGCGTCCCATGGCGACCCCTCGCCGCCGTCTGCAGGAACTGAGGCGAGCGGAGTTGGTGGAGATTATAGTGGAGACGGAGGCGCAGACCGGGGTCAGCGGCATCAACGTAGCCGGCGGCGGTAAAGAAGGAATCTTCGTCCGCGAGCTGCGCGAGGACTCACCTGCCGCCAGGAGCCTCAGTCTACAGGAAGGTGGGCGGGGCCGGGGCGTGGGCGGGGCCGACCTGCGGGGGTGGAGTTAGGAATCTGTCCCGGGCCCAAGGGCTGAAACTGACTTCAGGGTTGTGGGCGTGGTCTGTAAAAGGCGGGGCTTTTTTTTTTTTTGGCACTGTGATTGTTCAGAGCTGACTCTGGGGGCTCCTGGTCTGATTTGAATCCCTAAGGCCCCGTTTACTAGCTTGTGATCTTTCTGTGCCACCGTTTTCTCATCTTTAAAATGGGAACAACTAGTATTGAGCTCATGGGTTTATTATGTAGATTAAATAAGTCAGTATTTGAAAACAGCACACAGCTAAGTAGCACATGGGAAGCACTATGTAATTGCTAGTTAATGTTTGTGTTGTTGGGGCAGAAGAAAAGGGGAGGAGTTAATAACCTGGAGAGGTTGGAGAGGGGTTCAGTAAGCGAGGCGTGTTTTAGGAAATGTGAGTGAAGCTCACATTTATTCATACAGCATCTATTTATTAAAGGCCTTCTATTTCAGGCATTACTTAGGTGCTTGGGCTATCGCAGTGAACAAACAGACAACAGTCCCTGCACTTATAAGTTACGATCTAGGGGAGAAGGAGTTAAAATAAGTAAAATCTCTGGTAAATTAGAAGGGAGTATGTGCTATAGATGCCTGGAAGAAAACTGTATTTTTACACAAGGTGGTCTAGGAAGGGTGGGAAGTCTGCAAGGAAGTAAGGAAACAAGCTACGTGGCCATCTGGAAAAAGCATTCCAGGCAGAGGGAACAGCCAATGCAAACATCCCAAGGTGGGAGCATGGCTGGTTTGTTGGAGGAAGAATATGGAAGACAGTGTATGCAGTAAGTGAAGGGTAAGACCGATGTCAGAGAGGCAAGTGGGGAGCAGTTTTTGGAAGGCTTTAATAAGCCATGGCGAGACGTTGACTATTTACTCAGAGACTTTGTCTTTTTTTTTTTTTTTGTACCAGGGATTGAACCCAGGGGTATTTAACCACTGAGCCACATCCCCAACCCTTTAAAAAGTTTAGAGACAGGATCTCACTGAGTTGCTTAGGGCCTCACTAAGTTGCTGAGGCCGACTTTGAATCCTCCTGCCTCGCCTCCCCAGCAGCAGGGGAGACTTTGAATTGTATTCTGTGAGTGTTGTGAGCAGAAGAGGAACAGGAATGGATCATGTTGAATGACTACAATAACAGTAGACTGTAGGGGGCAGGGTTGGGAGCAGGGAGAACAAGGTGGTTACTTGGATTATCCAGGTAAGAGATGGTGATGCTCAGGACTAAAACAGTGTTGTTGGAGGTGAAGAGAAGGACTCTGGATATACCTTGAAGGAGAAACCTTCAGGACTGATTGTGGGATATCATGGACAGAGATGGGTCAAGGATGCCTCCAGGGATTTTCTACCTGAGGATGGAGCTGTTAGTCTAACAAACGGGGAACAATGGGGCTGGTGCTTGTTTGAAAAAGACCAGGTGTGTATTTTGGACCTCTTAGATTCGAGGTGTTTGTTGGACACCCAGGTGATGTGGAGTAGCAGTTGGATATACAGTCCACCCTCCATATTTTCGGGTTCTGCATCTGAGGATTTAACCAAAGATTGAAAATATTTTTTAAAAAAATTGCATCTGTAATTGTATCTGAACATGTCCAGACACATTTTCTTGTCACTATTCCCTAAACAACACAGTGTAACAACTATTTACACTGCGTTAGGTATTATAAGTAGTCTAGCCAGAGTGTAGTGTTACATGCCTGTAATCCCAGTGGCTAGGGAGGCTGAGGAAGGAGGATTGTGAGTTCAAAGCCTGATTCAGTAACTTAGCAAGGCCTTAAGCAACTCAGAGAGACCCTGTCTCTAAATAAAAATACAAAATAGGGCTGGGGATGTGGCTCAGCGGTTAAGCATCCCTGGGTTCATTCCTCCTTACCAAAAAATAAATAAGTAATCTAGATCTCATTTTATATATGTGGGAAGAGGTATGTAGCTTACATGAAAATACTATGCTGTTTTATATAAGAGACTTGAGCATCTGCAGATTTTTGATGTCTAGGAGGGGAGGACCTGAAAACAACCCCCTACAGATACAGAGAGGCCTTATGAGTCCAGAATGAAGGAGGGAGTGCTGGCTGGAGAGATTCACTGGGGAGTTATCAGCAGATGTATGATCCTTAAACTCCTAAATCTGGATGAGCTTCCCAAGAATTCCCCAAAGCCGAGTGTAGCGTGTTTATGGAGAAGAGAAGAGGCCCAAGGCCTGAGCACCTCAAACAGTGTCTTTAAGAGTTCAGAAACTTGCTGAGCAAGTCGGTGCATGCCCATAATCCCAGCAACCTGCGAGGCTGAGGCAGGAGGATCCCAATGTCCATGCAAGTTCGAGGGTAGCCTCAGCAACCTCCAGAGGGGTTCCAGAAGGTGTGACACCCCCCCCCAACCCAACTGAAACAAGTAGATGAGAAAAAGAGTAAAGTTGGGTCAAATAAAGTGGTCCAAGCAGATGAAGTTTGGGATTTGACCATTGAACTACACAGGGGTCACTGCCTGAGACCTTGAAAGGTGCAGTTCATGTATGTGGGGTGAAGCGGGGCGCTAGTAAGCAGATGGAAACTGTGACTGGAGAATTGTAAATAATGCCGACACATTTTTTGTCATCAAGGTAAACAGATCTATGGGACAGGAGCTCCAGACTGTGAGGTCCAGACATTCATTCTTATGGGAGAAATGGTATATTGTTATGCTGATAGGATAATGTAGAAAAAAGGGCACATGGTGATGTGGGAAAAGGGGAGAATCGCTGGGCAAACAGCGGGGGGAACAGACCAGAGCCGGGAGTGAGAACAGTTCGTCCCTTGAACAGGAGTAAAGATCCAGCAGAGCAGGGAGGTAAATAGATGGTGTGGGAACTTGCGGAAGTTACCTTCTGATTTTGTTCTCTCCATAAAGAAAACAAAGTCATCTTTTGAGGTGTGAGTTTGGGGTAGAGAAGTGGAAAGGCGACCCGCGAGACCTGAGCGTTGTGGATTTGTTCGGCGCCCAGTGGGAGAGGCGGAGCTAAAGCCATGGGCGGGGCTTCGTTACTAGGGCCTTGGCTCTAGTCGAGTTGGAACGCCTCTCAAGCCTGCGCTCGGGATAGGCGGGCTAAGCCCGGGGGCGGGGCTTCACTGCGTTAGCTCCCAGGAAGTGGGCGGAACCAGACCTGGGCGGAGCTGGCAGATGCCCATGCCCTGCCCACCTCCACCTCGCCTGCAGGGGACCAGCTCCTGAGTGCCCGCGTGTTCTTTGAGAACTTCAAGTACGAGGACGCACTACGCCTGCTGCAATGCGCCGAACCTTACAAGGTCTCCTTCTGCCTGAAGCGCACTGTGCCCACCGGAGACCTGGCGCTGCGGCCCGGGACCGTGGCTGGCTACGAGATCAAGGGGCCGCGGGCCAAGGTGGCCAAGCTGGTACGCGTGCTTAGCCCGGCCCCGGTCCTGGACAGCCCCAGCGATCCTGTCTCTGCGCCGTGAGCCCCACTCCCCGCCAACGTGGGCCATCCTTGCCCTCTGTCTTGTCACTAACCTAATGCTAATCCCACCCTCGTTCTTTGTCCCTAAACTCCTCCCCCCCTGGAGGGAGTCCATCTACCCCAGACCTTGGCCCTCAACCGTCTTGAAGAGGCATTCCCATCTTCGGATCCAGGCCAGCTAGGGAGGATTTGGAACCAGGAAGGCCAGGTTCCAGTCTGAGCACGCCTCAATCCCCATCTGCACCATAAGGGTGCTGGGGAAATTCCTGGATGAGGACTTAGACATCTTGGGGTCCAGTTCCCACACTCCTGTTGATTCTACATGAATGTCTTTGCTTTCTGGGGGAAAGGCAGGAAGTGGGGATGGTTTTGGGGGACAAGATACTCTACCCAGAATATCTCCATCCTGATATACAATACCAGTGGGGCTCTTCCTGTCTGCTCCGGCCTCCCACTGTCCCACCGCCTCCTGCCTCTCTCCTCTCTCCCCAGAACATCCAGAGTCTGTCCCCTGTGAAGAAGAAGAAGATGTTGGTGGTGCCCGGGGCCCTGGGGGCCCCTGCAGACCTGGCCCCCGTTGACGTCGAGTTCTCCTTTCCCAAGTTCTCCCGTCTGCGTCGGGGCCTCAAAGCTGAGGCTGTCAAAGGTCCTGTCCCAGCTGCCCCTGCCCGCCGGCGCCTCCAGCTGCCTCGGCTGCGTGTAAGAGAAGTGGCCGAAGAGGCCCAGGTAGCCCGGCTGGCTGCTGCTGCTCCTCCCCCCAGGAAGGCCAAGGCAGAGGCAGAGGTGGCAGCAGGAGCCCGTTTCCCAGCCCCTCAGGTGGAGCTGGTTGGGCCCTGGCTGCCAGGTGCTGAGGGTGTCCCTCAGGTCTCAGCTCCCAAGGTGGCCCCCTCAGCAGAGGCTCCCAGTGGCTTGGGCCTCCACCTGCCAACCCTTGGGCTGGGAGCCCCTGCTGCACCTGCTGTGGAGCCTCCAGCTGTAGGGATCCAGGTCCCCCAAGTGGAGCTTCCCACCTTGCCCTCACTACCCACTCTCCCCACACTTCCTTGCCTGGAGACCCGGGAAGGGGCTGTGGCGGTGACAGTACCCACCCTGGAAGTAGCAGCACCTACTGTGGAGGTGGACCTGGCCTTGCCAGGCAAAGAGGCAGAGGCCCGGGGAGAGGTGCCTGAGGTGGCCTTGAAGATGCCCCGCCTCAGTTTCCCCCGCTTTGGGACCCGAGGGAAAGAAGTCACTGAGGCCAAGGTAACCAAGGTCAGTCCAGAGGCCAGGGTGAAGGGTCCTAGACTTCGAATGCCCACCTTTGGCCTTTCTCTCCTGGAGCCCCGGCCCTCGGCCCCTGAGGCTGTTGCTGAGAGCAAGTTGAAGCTGCCCACCATCAAAATGCCCTCCTTTGGTATTGGAGTTGCGGGGCCTGAGGTCAAGGTGCCCAAAGGGCCTGAAGTGAAGCTCCCTAAGGCCCCTGAGATCAAGCTCCCCAAAGTGCCTGAGGCAGTCCTCCCAGATGTGCGACTCCCAGAGGTTCAGCTCCCCAAAGTGTCAGAGATGAAGCTTCCAAAAGTGCCTGAGATGGCTGTGCCCGAGGTTCAACTCCCAGAGGTGCAGTTGCCCAAAGTCCCAGAGATGAAAGTCCCTGAGATGAAGCTCCCGAAGGTACCCGAGATGGCTGTGCCCGATGTGCACCTCCCAGAAGTGCAACTCCCGAAGGTTCCAGAGATGAAACTCCCTGAGATGAAGCTCCCGAAGGTGCCCGAGATGGCTGTGCCCGATGTGCACCTGCCAGAAGTGCAGCTCCCGAAGGTTCCAGAGATGAAACTCCCGAAGGTGTCTGAGATGAAGCTCCCTGAGATAAAACTCCCGAAGGTGCCTGAGATGGCTGTGCCCGAGGTTCGACTTCCGGAGCTGCAGCTGCCCAAAGTGTCAGAGATGAAGCTCCCGAAGATACCCGAGATGGCTGTGCCCGATGTGCACCTCCCAGAAGTGCAGCTCCCGAAGGTTCCAGAGATGAAACTCCCCAAGGTCCCTGAGATGGCCGTGCCCGAGATTCGACTTCCCGAGGTGCAGCTGCCCAAAGTGTCAGAGATGAAGCTCCCCAAGGTCCCCGAGATGGCCGTGCCCGAGGTTCGACTCCCAGAGGTGCAGCTGCCCAAAGTGTCAGAGATGAAGCTCCCCAAGGTCCCCGAGATGGCCGTGCCCGAGGTTCGGCTTCCCGAGGTGCAGCTGCCCAAAGTGTCGGAGATGAAACTCCCCAAAGTCCCCGAGATGGCTGTGCCTGAAGTGCAGCTCCCAGAGGTGCAGCTGCCCAAAGTGTCAGAGATTCGGCTGCCAGAAATGCAGGTGCCAGCGGCACCAGATGTGCAGCTGGCAGCTCCCAAGGCACCGGAGGTGAAGCTAAAAGCTGCTGGGGCGGAGCAGGCAGAGGGGATGGAGTTTGGCTTCAAGATGCCCAAGATGACCATGCCCAAGTTGGGGAGGGTAGGGCCTCCGTCCCAAGGCAAACCTGGTGAGGTAGGTGCGGAGGTCTCAGGAAAGCTAGTGACACTTCCCTGTCTGCAGCCGGAGGTGGGTGGTGAGGCTCGTGTGGGTGTCCCCTCTCTCACTCTGCCCTCTGTAGAACTAGACCTACCGGGGGCCCTCGGCCTGGAGGGACAGGTTCAGGAGGCCAAAGTGGGCAAGGTGGAGCAGCCAGAGGGTCCCCAGGTGGCAGTTGGTGCTGGGGAAGTGGGCTTCCGAGTGCCCTCTGTTGAGATTGTCACTCCTCAGCTGCCCACAGTGGAGGTTGAGGAAGGGCGGCTGGAGATGACGGAGATGAAGGCCAAGCCCTCCTCCAAGTTCTCCCTGCCCAAGTTTGGACTCTCAGGACCAAAGGTGGCCAAGGCAGAGGCCGAGGGGGCTGGACGAGCCACCAAGCTGAAGGTGTCCAAGTTTGCTATCTCACTCCCCAAGGCTCGGATGGGGACTGAAGCTGAGGCCAAAGAGGCAGGAGATGGAGGCCTGTTGCCTGCCCTCGATCTGTCTATTCCACAGCTCAGCCTGGATGCCCACCTGCCCTCGGGCAAGGTGGAGGTGGCAGGGGCCGATGTCAAGTTCAAGGGGCCCAGGTTTGCTCTGCCCAAGTTTGGGGTCAAAGGCCGGGACGCTGAGCCAGGAGAACTAGTGCCAGGGACAGCTGAGTTGGAGGGCAAGGGCTGGGGCTGGGATGGGAAGGTCAAAATGCCCAAGCTGAAGATGCCCTCTTTTGGGCTGGTCAGAGGGAAGGAAGCGGAAGTCCAGGGTGGACGCATCAGCCCTGGGGAAAAGCCAGAGTCCATAGCTGGGCAGCTTAGGATCCCTGAGGTGGAGTTGGTCACCCTGGGGACTCAGGAGGAAGCAGGGGCAGAGGGAGCAGTGGCCGTTAGTGGAGTGAGGCCATCAGGCCTGCAGGTATCCACGACTGGGCAGGTGACCACTGAGGGCCATGAGGGGGTGCTGAGGATGCCCCCACTGGGCATCACACTGCCCCAGGTAGAACTAACCGGCTTTGGGGAGGCGGGCACCCCAGGGCAGCAGGCCAAGAGCATGTCCCCTCCAGTAGAGGGCACAGCAGGCTACAAAGTCCAGGTGCCTCAGGTGAGCCTGTCCCTGCCTGGAAGCCAAGTGGCAGGTGGTGAGCTGTTGGTGGGTGAAGGCATCTTCAAGATGCCCACCGTGACCGTGCCCCAGCTGGAGCTGGACGTGGGGCTGAGCCGGGAGGCCCAGGTGGATGAGGTGGCCACAAGCGAGGAGGGGCTGAGGCTGAAGCTGCCCACGCTGGGGGCAGGAGCCAGGGGAGAGGGGACTGAGGGCCAGCCCCCGGGGGCCGAGCACACCTTCCGCCTCTCGCTGCCAGACGTGGAGCTCTCGCCACCCGCAGGTGGCAGGGGGTGAAGGAGAAGCCGCACAGAAACTCAAGGTGCGGCTGCCCCGGTTTGGCCTGGTGCGGGCCAAGGAGGGGGTGGAGGAGGGTGAGAAGGTCAAGAGCCCGAAGCTCAGGCTACCCCTGGTGGGCTTCAGCCCAAACGAGTCTGCCCCTGGAGAAGGTTCCCCCAGCCCTGAGGAGGAAGAAGAAGAGGGCAGCGGGGAAGGGGCCTCGGGTCGCCGGGGCCGGGTCAGGGTCCGCTTGCCCCGTGTGGGCCTAGCAGCCCCTTCTAAGGCCTCTAAGGGACAGGAGGGTGATGCAGCCTCCAAGTCCCCCGTAGGGGAGAAGTCACCCAAGTTCCGCTTCCCCAGGGTGTCTCTAAGCCCTAAGACCCGGAGTGGAAGTGGGGACCAGGAAGAGGGTGGCTTCAGGGTCCGGCTGCCCAGTGTGGGGTTTTCTGAGACAGGGGCTCCAGGCCCCACCAGGATGGAGGGGGCCCAGGCGGCTGCTGTCTGAAGCCCTGGGCAGAGGGAGACATCCCCTCCCCTCGTTTTGTGTGTGAGTTAACTAGCACTAACCCTCAGAGGGCCAGGAGGTGGGCGACTGACCAGGGCAGGGTGGAGGCCTGTCCTCTCATCCGCAGGAGTGCCTGTATCATTCCAAGCCATGTGAATAAAATAATCCAGAGGTAGCCATGTGTCCTGTTTCCTGTGTGTGTGTGGTAGGAGAGGGGGTGGTGGGAAGGGGAAGAGAAAGGCGGTCTCTGGCATGAGAAACAGGCCACCTCTGGTCTTAGAAGAGGCAGGTAGCCCTGGTGGAGGGCGCCTGCTCTCACCCTTCAGAATTCCCAGAGGCCTTTGAGGAGGGCACTGGGGAGCTCCCTAGCAGGGCACAGCAGTGGATCAACCTCTCTGCCAGGGAATCTGTCGTCCGGGGGGACCCACTCCTACAGGATGGCTGCTGCCCCCTGCTCACTGCACACCTCTGTACACCCTGCCTTCTTTCCCGTCAGGCTGGTTCCACTGCCCCACCCACCTGGCCCCACCCAGGAAGGCCTGTCCTGGTGTCCAGAACTATGGGTTCAGAACCTCCACACCAGACACCTGGCTGCCTCTTAGGACTGGATCCTGGGATCCTCAGCACCTCTCAGTGCTGAGCCTTGGGATCGTGGGCCGCCCATCTCCCTGCCCAATCCCCACTCAGGATCTAAGCCCCCCGAGGGCCTCCATCCTACCTCATGTTTCTGCTGTGATATAAAAGGACACTACCCTGCCAGGACCAAGTGCCACTTCAGTCCTTCTGCCCTCTTCACACCTCCTCCTCCTTGTCTCAGGATGAGGGATGCAGACTCCATGCACTGAAGCACCTTCTCCCATGGGCCGGCTGCCCCGCACTTCCTGTGTCCCCAGCACACACCACAGGAGCCGGCTCCACTCGCCCCCCTTCGCGTGCTGGGTTTGCCTCCCACTTTATCTGCCCCCCCAGCACACACAGGGGCTTCTCTGTGGCTTCACCTGCAGTTTTTTCCAACTTCCCAGGGAAACTTCTATCTTCTGGCCCTGGCTCTTGTCTGTCTTCCCCACTCCTCTTTCTCCTCCTGCCCCTGGGCCATCAGGGCTCCTACAAGGTCCTGGTCCACCCCGACTCCCTCTCTGGGCTGCGTCCCCTTCCCCTGTGGTTTCTATTTATTTTTGTGCAAGCAACTCCCAGACTCTCTCCTGCATCCACCTGGGGGAGCCGGTGGCCTCTGCAGCCTCCCCTTGGACACTCAGAGACTGTGAGGGTGGTAGTTCAGAGCTTGGCTGACCGCAGGGTCAATCAATGCCTGTCTCCGGCACCCAGTTAAGGGACTTTTTAGGTATTTTAAAAACTTCTTTGGGGCTGGGGATGTGGCTCAGCGGTAGAGCGCTCGCCTGGCATGCGTGTGGCCCGTGTTCGATCCTCAGCACCACATACCAACAAAGATGTTGTGTCCACCGATAACTAAAAAATAAAATATTAAAATTAAAAAAAAAAAAAAAACTTCTTTGGACCAGGCACAGTGGTGCACACCTGTAATCCCAGTGACTCAGGAAGCTGAGGCAGAAGAGTCACAAGTTTGAGGCCAGCCTCTGCAACTTAGACCCTGTCCCCAAACAAAAACTAAAAGGGCTGGGGATGTGGTTCAGTGGTTAAGCATCCTTGAGTTCAATCCCTGGTACCAAAAAACAAACAAAAAACTCCACGTTCTTTGTGCCTTGATTCTCTCTTCCCTGCAATTCCTACTCTATTATGGGTTTAAACATCTTAATGTTTACTCTGTAATCTGGCCCCAGCATCTTCTCCCCCAAACTGCTCCTTCTCCATGTTCCTTTCTCAGATACTTCCCTGGGCCTTGTCCTGCACAGATTCATCCTTTCCCCCCAACCTGTCACACGGCCCGTCCTTCTGAATCCTTCCCAACCTTTCCCACCTGGGCCCTGCCCTGGACTCCTTCCTGGGTTTGGGTCCTCCACTCTTGCCTCTCCACTTTGTTCTGGACACTCAGATCGGACCCTACCCTTCCTTGCTCAAAGTCCTTCTGTGGCTCCCCAGTACCCTCGGAATAAAATCCAAACTCTGTAGTCTGTATCCAGGACCTTCTACAACCTGGCTCTGCCCCAGCCACAGCTCCCAACCACATGTGTTTTCTGGCCATGAACACACGTGCACACACACACACACACACACACACACACACACAC